GCTGATCCCAGCACCTTGGGGCTGGTAGGTTCTGTCATTGGGGGTCATGCCAGCATCTTACCACACCAAGTCCAGCAAAACTGGCTGCTCAGAGTCCTGGGTCTGAAGTCACAGATAGAGTAACTCAGGGGACACTTGCTCTGTGCCAGGCACAATGCAAGGCAGCCTACATGTGCTCATCCGGTGACATAGGTGTCATCCTCACTCTAAAGGCGAGAAACTACAGCTCAGTCATTAGATGAGAGGCAAGACCATGGAGTCAAAGGTGCCAGAGCTGAGATAGGAAGCTGGCTGCGACGTCAGCCACCCTGTTCTGTCTGACTCAGCCATGAGGACTGAAGCTCATATTCCCAGAAGCCCTCCATCTCCTCGTGACATGCAGATCCTCAGCCCTCCTCACCAGCAACGCCTCCAACTTCTGAAGAAGATGCCAGTGCTCCCAGGGGACAGGGCTGATTTGGCAAATGACATGGAGCAAGGGAGGCACATTGTAGGCGATACAGGACCCCTGCAAACTGACCAGAGAAACGTTCTGATAAATAAATCTAACGTGTGGAGCCTGGCCCTCTGGCAGTGACACTACGGCGCTTTCATTGTTACTTATTTTGTGTCATTTATTTGTTTATCTAAGGGTTCATTTATTTATTTGAGTCAAGGGACTTTGGCAAGGTTGTGTGTTCTGGGCCTAGGCTCTTCACGTGGATGGAGTAATGCCGGGGCTGGGTGAGGCAGTCTGCTCTCTCCTGGTTTGGAAGGTCCATGCCAGCAGAACTCACTGCGGGCCATAAATCTTCCATCCAGGCTACCTTCTTGGGAGCAGCTTTCCAGGAGCACAGTAGGGGTGTGGACTGTCTGCCCTCATGGAGGCCTTGGCCTGCTTCCCATCAGTCCAAGCCACCTCCCTTTCCCTGCCCGGTGGCTGACCGTGCCTGGATCGTGTTTGTGGCTTATGAATGGTCTCCAAGGCCTTTAATACTCTCAGCTTCTGGCAGTCTTTAAAGGTGTGGTCTTTAGCAGCTCAGAAGAAAAGGCCGATTGAGAGAAAAAGAACCACCACAATGGGTGGAGTGAGTGGGTGGAGACCTCCCCTAGTGTTGGGGACTTTCGGACCGTGGGAGTCTGGCTGAACCCCAGGATACCAAAGCATGAGGGTTCCGAGTCTAACCCAAGTTTGCATAACTGCAGGTATTCAAGTTTCCCAGAGTCTGACATGGTAAGGCTCCAGAGCAGGGAGGGACCAGCCCTCTGCTTCTCCTCCAGCCGGGACCCAAGGCCTGGGTCAGTGGCTCCTACCAGCTGCTCCCTCAGCCCCTGAGAGAGTCACCCTCCCACCCCGCAGCCCCCAGCCTGTCTCCCCTGCCTGTCTCCTTCCCATCCTCCAGGAAATGCCACCTTTCAAAGGGACACCCCTGGGTCACTCTGAACTGGCCCATGCCACTGCTCCTTAATCTCTGTTGTTATGTCTTGTTTATTTCCCTCAAAGCTCTTATCACAAGTTATAGTTATTATAAATATGTTCCTTTTCTTAGTTTTGTCTGCCTCCACATAGTCTGTCTCCACCTCTAAGCCATAAGCTTCAAAGAAAGGGCCAGCTATTATTGAATCTGTTATTTCACCAGCTCTTAGTATAGCACCTGGCACAGAATGAGAGGCTTCCAGTGATATTTACTTACCTACTTATTTGTATTTATTTTTCCCATGAGAAAAAGAGAGAATGACAGTTACCCCCAAGGGATTCCCATGCCACAATCCACCCCCAGTTTCAGCCTGCCTGGATCACAGGCCCACGTGTGTGCGCATGTGTGGTGCACTCAGGGAGGTCCTGGAACCCAAACCCGGGACTTTTTCACATGGGTCCAGTCGCATTAGCCCTGTGCAACCACCCAGCCCACCATTCTGTAACATTTCTTAACTGAATTGGTGAGTGAATGAAACGGGAGCTCTGTCTTCCTGCAGTCATTCTCGGATGTTAGAACGAATGGGAACTAACAGGAGCATATTAAATTTCAGTTTCCTGGGCCTCTTTTCTTGAGATTCTGTAACTCTAGCACACCTTCCTCAACTGCAAAATGAGAATAAAGGGGGAAATCCGCTTACTTCACAAGAGTATTATACAGCTCAAATAAGACAAGGTTCATGTCCAGGAAAAGGCACTAAACATCGCAAAGCATGGTATAAATGGAGTATTTTTATGGCTTAGCAGTGTCTTCTACACTCTGTCATTGAGGTACGAGGCAAGACCTGTGGATTTACTCTGGCCTTTGTTTTTCTGGGACACATTCTTGGAGGGCGTGTAGCCGTGTGGGCAGGAGGTGCACCCTAGATGAGTAAGTTGTGGGCAGCACGTCTGCATAGCTGAACATCCTGCAATGCCACTGACCTCGGCCATCTGAGACCGGAGGTCACACTTGGAAAATAGGTGGCCTGGCTAGTGCACAGGTTGCTGGGGGTCTTGAGCCAAGGAGCAAGTTGCTGGGACCCTTAGAGAAGAGCCTAGTATCAGTCCTCACTCTGGACATTTCTCCAGTTGATCTGAAAGAAGCTAGTACTAAACTGAAACACTGTTTGAAGCAGGAAATAAGACCTCCTGCCATACCTGCTGTGTTAGCTTAAGGTCTGGTTCTTTGTGACTCTGAGAGGTAATCAGTCTACTAATACTTGAGGGGGCTTCAAAAAGTTTGTGGAAAATAGAATTAAAGTATGAAATTTAAGTGTAGTTTGTTTTGTTTGTTTTTAATTTGTTATAAGGTACAAGTGCTCACAAGGTGGGGGAAAAGGGGTGGAATCTCTTTCCCATTTTCCTCTTGGGATTTTGGGCACCCATGCTCACATGCCTGGCATGGTTTTCCAACTGCTGTATCTGGGACTCAACGACATAGCCGGGCATGTGGGATCTAGCCACCTAACCACCACACCAGTGACTGGCCCAGCATAGCTCTTCCATAATACACATTTTTCATTAAATTTTTGAAGACCCAACAGATTTACTGAATGTTTATAGAATATAATTCAAGCGCCATGAAATAAGGGTACTATCAATATGATTGGGGATCCTAAATACAACATAAACAGATAGGAAGATGATCAGGTAGAGTGGAGTTTAAGGTGCTGGATCCCACATGGCTGACTGCATGGTTCTAGTCTAGGACTCAGCAGCTTAAAAATTACACTGAGCATGTGTGCACGTGTGCCCCAAATCCTGAGAGGAGAATGAAGGAGAAGGGGTTGCAGCATGGCCATCCCTTCTAGGGGGTGATTTCTTACTTTCTGTCTCTCTCTGTCTCTTTCTAGCGAGCACATGTGCTCTATGGCAGAAATCTAAAAAAAGAATGAAAGATGGTAGATATAGATAGACAGATACTTGGATGGAGGGTGGCTAGATAAGAATGAACATGAGATACTAACAGTATCGAGAGAAAAACAGCAATTTATCAAGCACCGACAATGTGCCAGATACTTTCGGGTACATTACCACTCCTATCAGCCTGACTCCTTGCAGCAAGGCTGTGAGGAAATGTCACCCCCACTATCAGATAAGAAACTAAGATCCCGGGAAGTGAAGTAACATGCCCAAAGTTGTCCAGCTAGCCAGTCCATCCATGTTCTTTCTTCCAAGTCTCCCAGTTCCTGAGACAGAGGACATCCCCACTCACCTCCCACCCCTTAGTGCCCCTGTCTTTCTTCCAAGTCTCCCAGTTCCTGAGAGAGAGGACATCCCCACCCACCTCCCACCCCTTAGTGCCCCTCTTACTCTGGAGGCTTTGTTTTGTGTGAGAACATCTTCACAATCCTAAGGAAAGCTCCTCACTGTCCATTCAGTGAGGGCCTGAAACCAGTTTTTCAGCCATTTCTGTTCCAGCCACCCTCAAGTTTCCCAGGTGAAAGTGAGGCCTCTCAAGATAAATGAAAGAGCTTTCTCTTCAGGGGCCCACTCCCTCCCAAGGAGCACAAAAACGCTTTCAAGGCTGGCCAGCCTCCAGAGGTGCACTAAGAAGTTGGTTCGGGGCCAAAGGTATCTATCTATGCTGCATTGTACACCAAGGTCCTCCCCTCCTGCCTGCTTCCGCTACTTCCTGCAGCTCCATTCACTCGCTCTCCTGCCGCTCTCCCTGTTCCCTCACCTCCCACTGGCAGGTTCTGGGCAGGAGTCTGGGCACCATGTCAGGAGAAAAGGAGGTACCAGGGCCTCAGCTCTCTCCTTGCCTCCATCTGACTCCCTCCCTGGCTCCCAGCTCTTTCAGGTGCTCGGCCAAGTCTCCGGGACAGGGCTCAGTGAACACAGTCAAAGCCCTTGTTGGGGTGGTTTGGCTGACCCTGAAGAAAGAGGGCCTCCATCGCTAGCAGGCTCCCAACAGGACTTCAGCAGATTAAAAACCTCCTCTGTGTGAGGGCTATGGGGTGTGGGGGGAGATGAAGCTATCTAGCCGCGTTTCTCCCTAAGTCTCTCCCACCTCTTCCTGGATTGGCCTACTGAGTTTCTATCTGCTCTCTTAGCCTCTATGTCTCTTTCTGAAATCAGCCAGCCTGGAAAGCACTAGGACCTGGAATCTGAAAGCCTCTTTTATCATGGAATAGGCTTTCTGTTCAGCCCCAGGAGGCCCTTACAATGCACAACCAGATGTCAGAGTTTGGGGGATGATCAGTCTTCACTGTACAGATGAGAAGCTGAGGGCTAACCAGGTGGCATGGCTTGCCCGAGGTCATGCTGCGAACTCTCATTCCAGTGCACCAGAATGGAGAGGTGTCCTCCAAATTCAGAATCCAGCTTGGGGCGGGGGAGGGCGGGGCACGCACTTTCCTTCCTTGGCCGCCATGGTCTTCTACCTCAGGGATCTCAGGAGTCAGGGAGCCTGGCTGAGACACTAACTCAGAATCAAATCCCTGGCAGCCAGTAGCCACCGCAGCAGCTGGAGAGTTCCCGCAGGCACCCAGGACCAGGCGGAGCTCCTCCCAGGGCGGAGCTGCGGAGACCCCGCCCACCTCTGTTTCTGCCTAGCTGGTTCTGCAGCCCCGTCTTCCCCAGAGAGCCACTTCATCAGGGAGCAGCTGTGTGCCCACGTCCAGGGACGAAGGCTGAGGATGGGGAGAGTCTTGAAGACCCAGAAGGCCATGTCCTGCCTGAAAGTCCTGCCCAAAGGCCTGAAGAGCCTGGCTTAGCCGCTGCCTGGTAAGGGAACTGCCAGCCTCTCCCAGAGCTTGCAGAAAGAGGAGGGAAGGAGACCTCAACACATGCCTTGCTGGGACTGAGGGAAGGTGGCAGGGCTTAGAAAATGCTGAGCACCTAAGAGGTGTCAGGCCTTAGCACTGTAGGAACTATGGGTCACTATCCCGTTTTAGAGTGGGAGAAGTACCACCATTTCAGAGCCCAGATGAGAGCCCCTCTGTCCCACACTAGGGCCCCAGCTCGTTGCCTCCCTGCTGCCCACCAGCCAGGCAGCAGACACAGAGCCCACTGGTGCCATTTTTCCCTCTGTGAGCTGCTGCTGCTGCTGCTTTATTTCTTTTCTTTTTAAGAATTGTTCATTTGGGGCCTGCAGGTGGTGTGGTGGATAAAGGCACTGGCCTCCCACATGGCCCACTGTGGTTTGAGTCCTGGACCTGGTGGCTTGCTTTCTTGCCTTACCTTTCTCTTTCTCACTATCTCTGTCTGGTCAAATTAAAGAAATAATAATAACAAATGAAGTTCAATAAATAAATAATTCTTAAAAAAAGAATTATTCATTTAATTTTATTTGTTATTATTATTACTTTACATTTGCTATAGGGTACTTATGCTCACCAGAGAGACAGAGAGAGAAAGGGAGAGTGTGAAAGCAAGCCACCAGGTCCAGGACTTGAACCATGGTTGACTATGTAGCTGTGCAGTCCCGCACCTTAACCACAATGCTACCTGCTGCCCACCCCCCATGGGTTTCTTAAGAAGGACCCATGGCCATAGCACCTCTCCTCATCTTAACCTAATTTGGGTTTCACTCCTGCTTCCCAGTGAATTCTGTCTATGCTGGAGAGACTGAGGACAGGGCACAGTGCCTGGGTAGGAAGGAGGCTGGGGTATGACAATTTGGGGCCCGACAGAATTCGTGATGGGATTCTAAGAGTGGGAGCGGAAGCCCTCACATGATGGAATTACTTCTGCCTCTCAAAGCCAGTTCAGAAAAGGCACCTTCTGCCACTGAGCAGCCTTGGTGTCCTAGGTCTGACCCTGTCCTTCCTGAGTTGGTGCCAGTCATGTCACACTCTGGGTGGCAGCTTGGGTTTATTAGAAAGAAACTGAGCTTCGGGTTCTCTTCAGCACAGTGGAATCACTGTGTTCCACATGGAAGACATGGAAGGGAGAGGAGGAGGAAATGTTGTATTTATTATGTTGTATTTATTGTTTCCTGTTGTCATTGCCAAATAGGAAAAGTGAGGCCCTAGGAGGTTAAATGACTGGTGTATCTGAATCCAAAACTCAAGCCTTCCTCCGCAGGTAAAGGCAGGATCTTGGCCAGAGATCCCCTCAGGCTAGGGTAAAAGTGCATAGGTTGCCCCTGCTCAGGAGCATCCAAGGACCTCCTGAGTATCCGCCCAGCAGACTCAGGAGCAACCTCCAGGACACTGCCCTCTGGTGGCTCTGCCCCCTCTCTGCTAAATAACATCCCCGCATCTGTGAGAACTGGTGGCCTGAGCCTCCAGTCAGCCAGCAGGTACACACCAGGCACTCGGTGACAGTGACGGGCTCCTCTCCCACGTAGGCTGATAGCACCAACTGCACTTGGCTCTTGGGGAGTGCTGTGGGCTCTGGATACAGCCCTGCACCTCAAAGATGGGTCTTGGGTAGGAAAGGCCAGAATCAAGAATCCAGTTCAGCTTGGGGAGCTGGAGACCCTCCTCCTAGACGCAGCACAAACAATGGGGACTTGGAAGACATCGATTCAGACCATGGCTACTTCACTGCTGTGCGACTTCTACCAAATCCCTTTACAAATCTGAGATTCTTCTCTAAAGATGAGCACCTACTGGGCCACACGGCCATGAGAATTAAAATGGATGAAGCACCACACATGGTCCCCAGAACCTAGCAGGCCTTTAGAAGGCTTTCCTCATGTCTCTTTCATTGTGAACTGACAGGTCCTCAGTAACCTTCCAGAGCAAGCTGGGTAGGGGGGGTTACATTCCTGGTCCTATCCCAGGGGAAGCTCTCAGAGCAGGAGGCTTTGCAGAAAAGGTTCAGAGGCCCAGGACCTAACCTTTTTTCCTCCTAACATGGGGTTGGCCACAGGAAAAACTATTTCACAGGAGTCTTGGAGCTGAAGACTACATGGTCTCCCACCTTACTTGGTCAAGGGCCGTTTCCTATATTGGAGGTATGGAGGAATATTCCAGTATGAGAAATGAACTAATTCAGCCAGACCAGGTTGAAGCCACAATGACTAAGGCTGAGAGTAAGGGCAGGGGAGTGGCCCAGGGCAGGCCTTCATGGCCCCACCCACATCTTCATGCCCCCACCCTCTTTGTCCACCAGACAAATGCAAGACGCTC